AAAAAAAAGGAAAAAGGTAACATAATATAAATATAACATGCGTAACAAATGAGAGAAAAAAAATGCTCTAAACAGTAAGTTCTCAAGTAATCATAATAAGCAAATATAGCATTCGAAACATTTCTTGAAAATACAAAAAATAAGTTTAATCCTCATGTCAAATAACGAATAGAGATTGCGAAGTTCGACTAGAAAAGCTCGTCAAATTCACAAATAAATTTAAAAATATATGGAATGTGTTTAACAGTACATTATGAATACAATAATTTAAATGCAGTAAAAGTATAAAAAAAGAAAATAGAAAGCAAATGAGTTATCAATAATAACTAACTTAAAATAAAAGAAAAAAAGAACAAGAAATCTTTTGAGTAGAATTTTGAAAAAGAAAATTATGTTATCACTGATCGTTCTAAATACCATCGTTGTTGTGCATGATTTCCTTCAACACAGGGTCCTGAAATAAAAGTTTTTGTTTTAGTTTTAAATTAATTTTTATTCTATCTTAAATATGACTTACCAACATTGACTTTACCATTATCTTTTTTCTCATCAACAGTCAAACATTGATTAGAGTTAACATGTTTCATAAGTTTTGTCTACAAAAAATATAGATTATTTTATTGAATATAATTAAATGGATTATACTTCATTATTATAATTCCATATTTGTTTTTGATTTCCTTCGGTACATTTTTGTAGTTTAACAACACTATTTACACTACCTTCGAAGCAAAGATCATCAAAACGAATTTCACCCTTTTTCGAATATATCACAATCTAAAGAAAATATTAAAATAAAGAATATTAATAACTTTTTCCAATATAAACCATAAAAACTTGAAACGAAGTGCAACAAAACAATTTCTTTTTGAATCATTTCATGCATATTTATAGTCTTGCTTAAATTTCAATGAACAAAACGACAACAATCATCATGCAATAACGAAACGTATTTTTTTAACATGCTCTATTTTTCAACCTGATAGGCTGCATTTATGGGTGATTCCGTTCGATCCAAACAAGTTTCTATATTTAATGTAGCTGTACGATTGCCTTTTTGACTACCGAATACATTATGGAGAGTCAAACAAGACATTGGTTCAGTACGTATCTAAAATAAGTTTAAGAAAAAACATATTAATTTACACACCTGATTAGCCCCTTGTTGTTGACAAGGAAAAATGCCTGCATTTTGATTAACTCCATTATCAATATTAAAGCCCAGTGAATCAGCACAACCGTGCGCTTCATTTTTTAACTATTTGTATAAGAGATAGAAGTTACAAGTAAGAAAATCATAAATTCAAAATTCTTCTAGTTGTTATCTATAATATATGAAAAGAGAAAAGTTCGACTCACTGCTCCAACATGATGGAAATTGATTGGTAATGAAGTTTCAGGATAGATATTTTCTAAATACCATTGAAAATCTTTGCACTTGAGACGGTCACGAAGTGCAAGACGTTCAGAAACATCACCTGCCTGAACACGTTTTAATTCTAAATGAACAAGAAAATTACTTAAATTATTATTTTAATATCATGCAATACTAACCAGGCATAATTGCATATATAAAATCTTTATATTTATCAAGCCATACTTCAACAAGACGTTTATTATTATGAAAAATAACAGTTCCAGTACCACCGGGAAATGTATATGGGGTTTGTTTACGAAAGACATGACCAACATGACTACCTGTAAAATATTATTTTATTAAAATATAAAAATAAATATTCTAATAAATGTTTTTTACATGGATGAATAAGTACTCTTCCTCCACATTGCCAAACACGGAATGACATTTCTAAATTTTCACCACCCCATACTTCCATACCTGGATCATAAGCACCGATTTCATAGAAATATTCACGATTGATTGTAAATAAACCACCTGCCATTGTTGGAGATCTATTTAATTAAAACAAAACACATATATAAGACAAAATAAACTAGAAATATTTTTTCAGTATACAGTAAAGGTAATGAATGATCACCATTTCGTCGAACTTCTTCTCGTTGTGGTACTGGATACCAACGAAAATTTAATCTCCAATTAAATCCTCCCTTTGATAAACAAGAAGAATAATATTTTAATTAAGTTTCTAAGTTGAATTTTTAACATACCCAAGTCATATCACTACCAGTATAATATCCAAAATCATTATCATTTATTACATCAATTATCGGACAAACAACAGCCGTTCTAAAAAAAGAAACGATAAAATATGTAAAAGTAACTTTCTTTATACATACCTATCTTTTTTAACTTCATATAATAAATATTCAAGCCATCCAGGTGAACATTCAATATGAGCATCAAGAAAAGTTAATGTATCACCTTTAGCTATTTCAGCACCTAAAATTAAATAAAAGTAAAATTCATTTTTCTTTGAAATCTATTTTTCTCTTTACCTCTCAAACGAGATTTCATTAATCCTAATCGATCATTATTTCTTAATATATGTACTGGGACAGGTAATTCTTTAGTAAATGCGTCTAATGTATCTTTGAGATATTCTATAAAAAATAAAATCAATGCATATATATATATATTCCTAAAAAATAAATCGTACCTCGATTAATACTAGCATCATCAACCATAATTATTTCATGTATATATTGAATTGGACTTCGTATAATAATACTTGTTAATGTTCGAAGTAATGTTGAATTACCTTCATTATGAAATACAATAACAATTGATGTTGTTGGTAAATCAGATGGAAATTTATGGGCTAAACATCTAAATATGATGAGGAGAAGAATAAATATCAATTGAAAATCCAGTATCAAACTTGGATGATCGTTGATCTTTAATTGATCGATTAAGTGCCATAAGATCTGATGCAAGAATATTAAATTGATTTTCTATAAATCGTTTTTTTGATTGTTCTTGTAATTCAGCTGGAATAACAACAGCTCGACCACCTTCACCATGCCAACTTGGCGGATTTGTTGCTCCTATTATACAACAGCAATAAAAAAATTATTATTTTTTTAAATTAAAATATAAAACCTGATTGATTTTCCCACCATTTATTAATAATACGACTAGTCTTTGTTATTGCATTCGATGTTTGACTATTATATAATGTTCTATTTGGATATTTTCTTCGACGTATTGGAATAATAGGTTCGATTATTCCTGAATTATTATTATTAGCTAATAAAGATGATAATGATGATGATTGACAAGGAAGAATAATTTCTTTTGTACAATCAGAAAATAACATTATAAAAAATACATCAACAAATATCCAAAATAATGAAGTATAAATAATTATATGAAGATACTGACGTTTCCATGAACGAAAACGTTTTAAAAAAACGTCAGTCGGTGTTGAATGATAAGGTGAAAATGAATTCATGAGATTTAGATTGTTGATGCTAATACAATGAAAATCTAAAAAAAAGAAAAAGATTGTTACAGAAAAGTAACAAGAGAGTATGTGTCGGTGTATTGACATAACAAGTAATGTTAGATTTTCTCTCCATCGTTGGAACGTAAAATAAATAGACATATGGCAAAAAATAGTGTAATTTCTTTCTCAGTAGACATACAAGTTTTTTTTTCGATCATCTTACTATTGACTACGACTGATACATAGAATAATAAGAATACGATAATGACTAATCGAAATCGAACTAAAAAATAGACGATTGGATGTTTTTATTATCTCAAATTTTATCTTCTTTATCCTGAGAAATTTCATTGTGATACAAAGATCCAAAGCTGTTTGATAAAACATAAGACAAAAAAAAAGATTGATTATATTTATCTGATATTATAAAGAATTTTATACAAAAAAAAAGAATAATTAAAGTTTAGTTGGTCGAGTCTCTGTTCGAAGCACTTGAATAATTTGTGCTAATGCATCAGGATGAACACCTGCTTCAAGTAATCTAACACATGCAGTTAATGTTTTCTTATCTAAACCAGTATTAAGTAATTGTGATAATTCATGAAGACGATCAAGTGCTTCACGTGCTTCATTTGTTGTTGATTCACTTGTTGTTGAACTTGATTTAACAATTGGCATTTTGAAATCTGAAAAAAACAAAACCAACAAATAAATCAATATATTCTTTTATATTTCTTATTTTTTTTCCTATAGCTTACAATAAATAAATATTACAACAAACAATAATAATTCCACTGTTGTACGACAAAAACAAAACAAAAAAAAACAAAATAGATTAATCTGACGATATCCACAAGGAATAAAAAAAAACAGATCTAATTTCTTGTCCTTTTAGATAACTTTTCAACTTCTTTACTTAATGTATCGACATTATCTTTTAATGTTAAATTTTTTAAAAGTGTATCTTCTAAAACTGCTTGTAATTTTCCCATAACATCCAATGCTGTTTCAAGTGTCATCGGTGATGATTGATCAAATGGTTTATTTGTTGCTGTTGTTTGATTATTGACAGTTGTTGTTGCACGATTATATAATGTTGCCATTAATGATGTTGAAGAAGAATTCGTTCGAGTTTTATTTGCTAATTGTTGTTTTATTAAATCCGATTCATTGGATGTATACATAAAACTATCTTCATTCATTGCATATGATTGAATTATTTTACGTTTATTTTGTAAATCTTGTGTCAATAATTGTATATGATCATTTAAAAATTCAATTTTTTCATTACGTCGTACAAGTAATTTTTGTTGTTTTAATAATTTTTCAATTAATTTCTGTCGATCAACATCAACAATATTAACAATAACTTCTTGTTCTTCCTCAACTGGAACCTGTTGTTGATGATGATGATGATGGTGATGTTGTTGTTGAGTAAGAGGATTAGATATAAACTGATCAGGTGTTGAAACAGAATTCGAAGAAGCAATCTCGTTTAATGAACAATGAGAACCTGTAGGAGATCCATGACTTGATGCATTATCACCGGGATTTTCTTTCGTTGAAAGAGATTTTGCTTGACTAAATTTTCAAGATTTTATATTAGAACTCAAAAAAAAGGGATTTTACCTAGTAAGTGAACTAGAAGATTGTCCATCACCATTATTTGTAACTTTAGTTTTTTGTAATTGTTGTAATTGTTTAATTAAATCTTTTGTATTAGCTTGATGTTTCTTTTTTAATGCTTGAATTTCAATAAGACTATCTTCATATTGTTTAGTTGTTTGTTCATTAGATTTATTTAAATTTTCATATTTTTCTTCTAAAATTTTTAATTGATCTTTTAGAGATTTTTCAATAGTTTCTAGTTGTAAGAGTTTCTTTTGTTGTTCGTCATTTATTTTCTTTATATTTTCATAATCTTCTAATAGTTTTTTATGTGATGTTTGAATTTGTTCATAATTCGTTTGTAAAATAGAATTTTTTTCAGTTAATTTTTGTGTTAATTCAAGAAATTGATGTTCTTTTTCAAGTAATTGTCGTAAATCAGCATTATCAGCTAGTGTTTGACTATTAAGATTTTCAATTTGTTTTAATCGTGATAATTCAACTGAATCTTGTTCACGTGCAACTAATAAATCTTCGTATAATTTTTTCGTTGTTTCTTTTTCACGTATAGAATTTTGACGAAAATTTTCAATCACATTTTCTAATGCTAAACGATCTTCATCTGATGATTTAAGTTTATCACGAAATAAATTATTTTCCTCTTGGATATTTGCTAATTTTACTTTAAGAGCATTATGTTCACTCAATAGAGTATCAAATGCTTGTGTACGTTCATCATCTGTTGGAATTGCATTGAGAGCTGAAATACATAAATTAATTTAAAACAAAAACAAGTATTTCATTACCTTCAGTAAGTTGTTTGCATTGTGAATTTAATTGTTCTTTAGTTTCTTGTTGTTCATTTAAATCTTTTTTTAAACGTTCATTTAAATCACGTTGTTCTTTTAATAGTAAAGATTCACCTTTTAAATGATTTAATGTTGATTTTAAAGTTGCATCAATTGATTGATTTAATTCTTTAAGTTTTTCTAATTCTTTTTTCGTTGTTGTTAATTCTGTTAATTTATTTTCATAAGCTTGTTGTAATTTTGTATTCATTAATTTAAATTCAGCTAATTTCATTTGTAAACTATCTTTTTCTTTATTAAATTCATTATTTTTTGCTGTTAAAATTTCACAACGTTTATCCGAATCTAATTTTGCTTTTTCAGCTTGAGCATAACGCATAACACTTGATTGTTTTTCACGTGAGTATTCTTCTTTTTGACGAGCTATTACTGTTTCATAATGTTGTTGATATGCACTAACACGCGCATTTAGATCAGATATTTCTTGTGTTTGATTAGTAATAATAGTTGAAAGACGAGCTATTTCTAATTGTTCTTCAGAATTCACTGGATTTTCTGCTGGAATAGTTTCTAAAGAAAGAATACATTTATGAAAATAAAAATTGATTCGGTTGACTATTAAAAGATTTAAAACTAAAACGTTGTTTATGCAGAATAGTCTTGGTAAAATAAGTATATTTAAAAAAATATAGATGTTGTTAAGTTTATTCTAGAGACTTTCAAATTTGTTGGCCAATGTCAGTACAAAAATACCTAATGTACTCAGAAAAAGGTGTGAATTAAGTACCATGATAATTAATGTATGGCCCTGTCATTCGAAGGTGATCGAGATAGTCTGAAGGATGCATAGTTCATGCAAGGTTATTCCACGCGACGACCTTTGATGCCTTCAGTATTGAAGAAAAAGTCTTATACGCCTAATAATAAACAGTTTCTATACTTTCAACGGATATTCATATGATTCCATCAGGATAAAAAAGGATTAATAATTCTATATAGAATAATAAATCAAATCTCACCAGTGTTCTCCACATCTGGATTATCATTAGTTAATTCATTCTCCGTTGAATTATCATTGTTTAACTCAACTGATTGTTCTTCATTAATTATTTCGTTTGAATTATGATCTGTATCCATTTTATTCTGATACAAAAATCTTTCAATTAGATCAGATGAGATTCATCTAGAAAGAAATATTATTAATATTCTTCCACAATTAAGTCTGATTAATTTGTCTCTGTTTAATGCACAAGACCCAACAACAAAGAGAGAGAGAGAGAAAGAAAGATAGAAAAAAAATAAATTTTGAACAAAAAAAACGAAAAGAATAAATTTGTCGTTGAGTACATATTAAAAGAAAACAAGAAAAGAAAAAAAAAGAAAATAGTTTAGTATCCGTATGTATATGTATATATATATAAATGTAAACAAAAGAATAAATCAATTAATTTTTCGGTTTGGTTTTTTTTCTTCTTCTTAGTTAAACCTATATACATATAAAGCGACAAAAATAATGTTCACAAATAACAAAGCGACTAGAGTCCGGAAATGAAAAATAAAGGAAAGACAATGCAAGTTATTTTCCATATAACTGTGCAAGAAAATCTCCGAGACTTATAAATGTTGTCGGATCTGTTCGTTGTGTATGATTCCATATATAGATAGCTAATCCACTTATTGTTAATGTTACACCCCAAAGAACAATACGTGGTAATGCACCTTGATGCTCATTAATATCTAATGATTTTTCTACATCATTATCATTTTGAGAAGAATCTTTACCATAACGTCTGCGAAGTATTGTTTCCATTGGTGGATTATCAATGAATTCACTGAAAAGAAAGAATATGAATCTTTATTCGAAAGAAAGAAATTCGTTTTTACCATTTTCTTCTCCATTCATCATTTAATACATCAAGTGTATCAGGATGATGATTTCGAAATAGATGTAAAGCACGTCTAATAATTTCTTCCCAACTATTACTATCTAATTCACTAGGTACACGAGTTAAATATTGATGTAATGATGGCATATCACAGTCAGTGGATAAAACTTCTTTTGAATAAAAATTAACAATCTAAGAAATAAATTATTAAAATTTATTTACAAGATTATAGAATTTACTTCAGCAGCTACATAAATTGGCATAAGAAAATGTGAAACAATAAATAAATCATAAAGTCGAAGAATTATATCAAGATCATCTAATACATGTGAGTACCATGTGATAAACCATGATAAGGCAAACATTACATTTCCAACACCACCTCTAAAAATTATATCGCAAAAAAAAGTTAGAATAAAGACTATTTCATATTTATTTACCTCTGCATATATTCAGCACACTCACTATTGATACAATGGATAAGTGGCATTAAATAAGAAAGTAGATCACGTGTTTTCTCCATTGTTGGTTCCATAAAATCTCTATATATATACATATAAATAATTAATTACTATTGCAAGACATATAATTTTCTAAATTGATTTTTATTGTTTCCACTATGTGAGTAGATTTCAAGCTACAATTAACTGACTAATGTCTTGACATCTAACATGATAAGTATTTTGCCTGAGGAGAATGTTTTTTGCAAGCAACATACGAAATAGATCTTTCATCAAATTAAAAAAGAAGTCGTTAGCACTATCCCCCTACGGGATTTAAATATACGATCATGACTGAAGATATTCATTATAGTTTAGGTCAAAGTATTTTTGAAGGTTAAGAATTATATTTACTTAAAATGTGATTTCGTAATTGTATCAATATATGGAAGACATACATCTGCACCAAGTACAAGTAAAAATGTTAAACAAATATCATGATAACCCTTTTTTTGAAACGAAAAAGAAACTTTATTATTAATTTAAGAGATAAAAAACGAGCATTACCTGATAATAATTTAGATAATCATGTTTAATTAAAATTTTGATAATAACAACAATCAGTTCTTCTTGTAATTCAATTCTATCCGAATCCGAATAATCTTTTTAAAATAACAGTCAATGTTTATTTTTATATAAAGAAAACACTAAATTCATACTTGGTGGAAAACGTTTTAATGTTCTTTCAACATCCATTCGAACTTGTCCATAATATCGATGTGATTCAATTTGAGTTTTATCTAATATTTTGATACAAAAGTAAAGATGCGTTTTTTACTATAAAAAGAAATACCTGCTGCGTAATAATCATTTGGACAAAAATATATTTTCTTTGTTTGATCAAATTCTACTGAACAATAGGATGGTGAATTGATTAATAAAGGCCATATCTGTTGTCGATAAAATTTATTAATTAAACCATTCATTTTCGCATATTTTTGTAATTTTTCTTTATTTTTTTTAAATAAAAACTTTTCTATTCTATCCGTTTTTGTTTTATTAATAATTAGAAAATTTTCATCATCACTTAATGATAGAGAACCATTTGTTGTTATGGATGATGAAATAATTTCAGAATGTGCATCATCCATCAATGCTGAATCATTATCCGAATCTGAATTACTTGTATTTGATTCATAAAAATCATCAATTGTTACCATTACAATATATAGAAACGCAAAAAAGAAAAAGATATTATCTTAATATTTCAACCGTATTACATATGTGGCAAAATATAATGATTATGAAAATGATTGTTTTTTTTTCATTCTTATTATCTTTTGGAGCCACTTGTTATGTTGGGAGAAAAACGCAAGTAGCTCAATCTATAATTGTGTCATTGTGAGGAATTATAACCAATTGAAATATTTATGACAAAAGAAGTGATGAATATTTTACTAGAGTTAGTTTTTTTATATATATTTTGATTTTGAATGGCTTTTCAATGATTACTAAACATTTTATAATCGGTACTTTATGTCTTATTTTGATTATTATTGGACTTGAAAGAACTATTTATTGGTTTCTATTTTTTTCAACATTTATTTTTGGGTTTGTCTGTTTTTTTACAAAAGATTTGTATTTATAATGTTTCTAATTTAGTTTCCTTATTCATCTTATTATTAATAAACAAATATGGTCGAAATCATATTCAATTTATAATCAAATTAAAACATCTTTTATTAAATCAAAATTAGTTACTCATGTAAGTAGAAGATTGAAAGGTTAATGAAATTCTATATTGTCTACAGTGGACAAATTTTCATTGAAGTATCTATACACATTTACTATTAATTGATTTTTCATGATCAAATAAGTGCTAACTTGCTCTAGATTAGTTTATTTATTAGATGATATTTAATTTTACAATTCCTTATGATGAATAGTTTTGTTCGGAATGTAATGTGAAAGATATTAAGAGTCTTAAAAAGTATTTATTTACTAAATATGAATAAAAAATATTTTTGAATGAAGCATTCCTAAAGAAGAAATTATACGTGAGGTAAATAGTTTATTTTTAGTAAATTAATAATAGTGAAAAGAAAAAATGATTTTCTTAATTAAAAAACTGTTAACGCAACTCTATGGAGAATTAAAATAGAAAACACGATGCACCAGTAGTTTCCAATCACCCACAAATTGTTTTTTTTTAATTTATATAACAGCATATGTCTGCATAATTAGAGTTTTGAACAAAAAATACTCTATATAAAACCGACATAGATATTAATCATATATCACCTCCGATGGGTAATTAATTAACTCAGATGACAGTTATGTTAGTGTAGAGTCCAAAATTCTGTCCTTGTTAACTTCAACATTCCTTTTAGATTGTGTCTATCAAAGTACACTTACTGATAAAGATCTTATCTTTCCATGTTATAACTTTATATAACTTAAAATTAGTATGTGTTTTTAGATCACTGATAATGAATTTAATTCATCATCACGTGTGAAATCATCAAAACCAGTCAATGATCGTATACCATTAACAGGTATAACAGATATTGACGAACCACTTTATGAAGTAAATTTCTGTGAATAGAATAATTATATTTGTAAAAATTTCTTTTCGTAGTTAATTGATTTATTTGTTCGTGATTATATTGAAATATGGTATAAAACTCAAATAAGTTCCGATGAATTATTTATTAAAGATGTCAAAAATGGAATTTATATAACAATTCGTCATTTATCAGAAAGGTTGTTTTTTCTCATTTTTGTTTTTTATTTGTATTTAATTGAGTTTTAATTAGATTACGTGAAATTGATTGGTTAGATTTTTGTACAGGAACAATTGTTGATAGTTTTGCAACACATGTTCGATTATATCGAAAAGCTAAAGAACGTATGCGTATGGAACATTCAACAGATATACGTTCATGTTTTTTTGATTTGGAAGCTGAATATGAACGAGGAATTTGTCGTGATGATGTTTGCATGGATAAAGATAAAGAAAAAGGTTTAGTTTTTTTTCATAATTATTTTCAAGTTTATAAATTTTTTATTTCTTTTTAGAATTTCTTCGAGATATTATTGAATCTCTTCTTTATATACTCTTACCTGCAAATGAATTTCGTTGTATTCCTGCTCGAATACTTATTCGAGTAAATTAAATTCGAAATTATTAAATATTTAAATAATTTCTTTTAAAATTATTAAATAGGAAATTGCAGTTAATTTAGGTTTAATACCTTTTATTGATATGTATTCAGATCCAGATGCAATTAATCAATTAATTATAAAAATGGTAATAGAAAACAAAAAACACACATGACAATATTATTTATTTATTTAGTGTCAACAAATTCCATTAACAATCGAAAATTTTCTTCTTGTCGTTCGAACAACAGATTCAAAAATTGAATTAACAACATTAAATGACAGACTTGATATGGAAATAAATCGATGGCGATCAAAAGATACAGGAGGAGAAAATGGTAAATGATATTCTTATACAGTGCCTGTCAAAATTCCTGAATTTTTTATGACCTTCCGTTTCCTACAGAGTAGAGCTATAATCACTAGTTGAGGTTCTTTCTAACATTTATCATTACACAAGTATCGGATTGAACAATTTTAATAGTCCTTATATATTTGTTCTATTTAGATGCTGAAATTCGTGCAACATTGAATAGTTATCAATATTTAAAAAAATTACTGAATGAAAAATTAGAAATACATGCTCGATTAGAACCAATGATATATGTTTGTATTTTATATTTCAATCGATTTTCTTAATGTTTTTCTCCTATAGGATGATGATGATATATTACCAAAAGCATCTTATCGAGAATTACCATTGACAGAAATATTAAATAATTGTAATGGTTTGGATTATTTTTTGAGTAAGATCTGAAAAGATTTAATATTGAAATTATGAATGATTTTTTGTAGAATTTCTTCAATCAGTTGATGCTGTTGGTTATGGAAATTTTTATTTGAATGCAGAAGTATGAAAGAAAAATGAATAATAAAATAAATATTTATTGAATATTTAGGCATTTCGATGTGCTGGTATTACAGCATTTCAACAAAATGCAAGTTTAACTGATGAACAACGACAAACGAATCAAGAAATATTACGAAATATGGCTAATGATCTTATTGAACAATATTTTCTTCCAACAGTATGAATTCTTTGATCTACTTATATTCTTTTCAGTTTAATTTGCATGAATTAGAAGTAAGAGACGAATGTAACTAGAGTAACGTATATTCATCAGTAAGATAAAAGCAAATACTATCGATACAAATCTTTTGATTTCCTCTAATTGAATAATTTACTAATTTATATAATAGTTAATCTTAATTTTTAACTTGAATAAAATCTTTTTTTAGGGAAACTTTAAATTACCAATTGATGAAAATCTAATAAATAAAACTTTAAAAGTTTTACAAACTGAAACAATCGATGAAACATTATTGGATGAACTTCAAACAAAAGTAAATTTTTTTGTCTTTGTTTTGTCTCTAATCAAATTATATTTTCAAAGGTTTTTGAAATACTTTCATCTGATAAATATTATGTACAATTTAAAACAACACCTCAATATTTACGAATTTTAAGTGAAATTGAATTTAATGATTCCTTAACTGATAATTCAGGTTAGTTAATTCTGATTAAAAACAAAATAAAAAATAAATATTTTTATTAATAAAGATGGTGTATCTTTATCAAGTAATAATAGTAATGAAATATTAAACGATATAATAACTGAAACACAACAGTCAAGTCCTGGAACAAGTACAGGTAGTACAACTGCAATGGTGCCTGATGTACTTGATAATATTGAAAATTATATAATTACAACTGAAATTAATGAATCTGGTAAATTTAAATTTATTAATTTAATTAATAGATACAAATCTTTTCTTGTAAGGTGTATGTACTGACAACGGTACTAAATATGCAATTTATGTGATATCTGTATCTTGTAAACCATTACATTTCAATAATGATGAACAAAAACGTGAATGGATAACGTATCGTCGTTATAGTGAATTTAATGATCTGCATATGACAATAAAAAAACGTTTTCCTGCATTAAAAGATTTGATTTATTTACCAAATAAAAGTTTTATTAATAATACAAGTCCGGATGTACGTTTAAAACGACAAAAAGAATTAAATGATTATTTAATAGTAAGTTCTATTATTATTCTTATGATTATTGTTTAAATTGATTTTTATTATCTAGACTTTATCAAAACCTAAAGTTCTTCATAATAATCCTGGTCTGGGTGAACTTTTATTGAAATTTTTACGAAATCAACAATGGAAACATGAACAAACAGAATTAACTCGAAAGGTAAAATATACGGTTCTTATCAATACTACTAGTCATTCTTAAAAAGTACTGAGGGTGTGAAGGTAAATAAAAAATGAATCCACACTCACCCTCAGAGTTAAGTAATAATCTTATTCTTCTCCTTGACTATCATCAATTTCTATAAATGTAAAATTGATCAATGAATATTTATAGTTTAATTTTACTTTGTAGGACTTTTTCACTTCTACGGTTTGTTGTTTTCTATAGTATTTTTAATATCACTAGCATTCCTTTTTGCACCAAAATATTAAGAAATATTTTTTTTCTCCTGCTTTTTGTATACATTTACACAAATATATATTTTTTAGTTGTTATTTATATTAATCGTTCTTATTTGTATTTGTATAGGTCGATACACTTGTTAATCCATTTAAACAAGCTTCAATTGGTATTGCTAAAAGTGTATCAAAAATAGGTGGTGGATTAACAATTGTATCAGATAGTGTTGTTGAAAATGCTGGAAAAATTTTTCGAACAAATACAAATAATAATAATAATCGAATAAATGTTAATTTAAGTAAAGATACACAAACATTTTCTCTTGTTGAAGAAACTCAAGCTGAAGTAAGACAAATTAAAATGATTTATATTATTATTATTATGTTTATGAATATAATAGAATTCAAAAAATATTCCACTTCGTGTACTACTTGTTATCATGGATGAAGTATTTGATCTTAAACAAAAAAATATGTGGTTTCGTTCGAGATTTGTATCAATTTTAAAACGATTTTTAAGAGCATTTATGGGTGATTCTGTTAATCGGTATGATATATCCAATAAGAAAGAAAATTTGGTATATATTTATTTATTTATTAGACGAATTGCAACATTTGTTCAACATTGGACATCAGCAAAAAAAATTGCAAAAGAAATTTCACGATTTATGTATGCGAAAAAAGTTATATTACATATTAATTAATCCTAATATTTTCTAGAGATGGTTTTTGGCCAAATGGTATTTTAGCTGATAAACCATCTGAACGTGATCAAGATGTTCGTAATGTTACTCAAGTATTATGCAAAGCAAAATTACTCGGGATCGTTTCAGGTAAATAGCTAAGGAAAAATCTTATACTAATGGATTTATTCACTTTGTATTTTTGATTAGTTAGAATATTCTTTTTCTATATAAGTTCCGATGTGCCTTTATTGCCTTCCTCCATCTTGTTCCTATCAAGAGTGTTTCAAAAATATATAATGAGATTATTTTTAGACGAACTTCGTCATATAATTGGTAGTGAAACAACTCGTCGTGGTTTATTACGTTTATTTGAATTATTACAAAATGAAACACTTAATCGTCGATTTGTATATATTGTTATGGAAGCTCTTTTGATAAAATTATTTCGACCAAATGATTTACAATTAATATTTGAAAAACTTTATTCTCAATCAGAACGTGTTAAAGATGAATATCGAAGACGAATATTTGATCAAGAACAATATCATAATGGTATTGTGAAGAATCAACCACATTATGGAGAATTAAATCAACGTCCTTATTATTTAAGTCGTTTATCAACACGAACTGATGATAATATAGGTTTAAATAGATCGAATAGTATTCAACAACAACAAAAAGCTCTACCAAGAAGTTTATCTAACGCATTAAAGTAATTTTTCTTTCTTCCGGTGATTCCATTTTTTATTCTCGCCGTCCATCTGAATGAACCTATAATGATTTTCATGCATATGACTAACAATAATAAATGATTTTTCTTTTCTTTTCTTTTCTTTTTTTGTAAATTTGTCTGATAAATATTCTATATTTTTTTATTCGCTATGTATATTTTTCTGGTGTGTTCAATACTCTTCTTTATTTGTTATCCATGACAGTGTGATTTAGTGACTTATTCTTCTTCTTCTTCTTCCTCCTCATTATCTTCCTTAGATGACAATTGTTCTCTGTCTGTAAAATCAAATTATAATTCATTGACAAAATTTATGACTTGTATAAAATTTTATTTCTTGTTTTACTAACAGAAATATGCATAATAAATATATTCTTTAACATATGATTTTATAAATTCATCAATATACTTTTTCAATACATGCCGTCAACCTCTGTTCATAAATATATTGGGACACATATGCACTGTAAGGAGTCAAAGGGTTAAGGAGCATTACATTTATAAAAATATCAATCATAATTTAGAATAAAGCAGTAAGATTAATAAATCTTAATGATAATAATTTGAACAAATTCCTTTCACCGTGTAAATGACTTTTCCTTCTTGTCTAATATCAGATAATTAGTTCTAGTCAAGGAATATAGTTTTGACCTTGTTAAAAGAAGTATATATGATATGATATAACACTATGATCTGACAATTTCGATCAAGTAAAAATCATTTTAAAATGTAAGAAAAATATTACTAAACATATTCATATCAATCTTGTTTTCTATTTATACTTAATAATATGTTCATTAATACTCAAATAAGATAAACTATTAGTTTATCTTAAAATTATAAAGATATTTGACACTTATATATTATCATTCTGAAAGGTTAGAAGAGATAAACAAATGAACAATTTATCCAATCTAAAGAAAAAGTATCGTTTCGAACTAAAAATTTGGTGTCTACCGGAATCGAATCGAATCAATGAATATTGTAACACCAAAAAAATAACAATCTTATGAAATTCGAAAAAGTAGATTGATTTGTTATTATGAATAGATAACCTCCTCTTGTGAAAAAAGCAAAGCTAAATGTCGTTATGTAACATAACGATAATTCAGTCATAATAATAATAACATTACAATGTAACGCGTTTAGAATATATGTTTCTATCACTATAATATCATACAAAGATCTATTTTAAAGAATGCAAATATTCGCCTACGTTCGTATTGATACTCCTACTCGTTAGAAAGATAAGGTACCCTTGGATGGTATCTGACGAAAAGAAGAGTGTATGTCTGATAATAACTGTCCATATTACAATCATCTTTATAATGAATAAATCTATTTAACGCACGGTTAAATATTTTGACGTTTAGCTTTTCATTTGAAAGAATTTTTGTTTTCTTTATATTTAACGAAAAATACAAGATAAACATCATTTACTAAGTATAGTACACAGTCTTATTTATGTCGGGATGTACCATTCAAAGTTCCTTTTTTTTCTCTTTTTCTTGCTACTGTTGTTATTATTTAGTCGTCGCCTATCTGGCCGTGAGGCAAGAATATATAACAACCGACTTTCCAATCATCAGTGGATATTGCTGCTGTATATAAAGCAAGAACGAGGAAGAAGAGACGACAGAATTAGAGAGAGAATAAGAAAATTGTCTCCGTATTTTTCAGAACTACAAATACGTACACATACATACGCACACACACACACACTATCCTTCTTCCCACCCGTTGTCGTCGTTTTTTTTTGTTGATGTTGTTATTTGTCTTTAGCATGCATGCCCGAAAAGATCAGAGGAAACGTTACTGCATTTTTTCTTCTTCTTTTTTTTGTACATGTTCTTTGGGATAATGAAGCTTGTCGATCTTTTTGTCGGACGGTAATATTAAGAACTAAATAGCGAGAGATAAAAAAAGGGAGAAAAAGTCCCAAAACAACGTAAAAGCTATCGTCGTTGTCTTTGTGATCGTGCTGGTATTTAATAGGAAACACAAGTCAAGAGAGAAAGAGAGAGACCCAAAAAAAAAGAGTTTCTCGAAAACAACTATTGACTATAAGCTTAGGTTAAAAGATTATTTGAATGAGAGATAAAGAAAATTCCATACATAATGTAATCTATATAAATAATCAGTTTTTTTGTATACAAATGTGTGATAACAATAGAACGACTGCTCTCGCTCAATCAATCACTCGTGTTCATCTTATTCATTATCTTTTCTTCTTTTCTCTTTCTTTTCGGAGTCTATTATGTAGTAATTATACTTATATATATATATATATATATCTTAAACAATAATGTTGTAGAAATATCAGTACAGAAATTATCATAAAAGATGCGTTCATCTTACGATTCTTTACATCATTCATCATTATCCTCGACTTCTAATCGTAATCATCGTCATCCAACTCCATCAAATTATTTAGATTTAAATTCATCAGTTGGTGGAAGTGAACGAGCAGAATTTCGTGATCGTTATCAAAATCGAGTAAGACAAAAAAAAGTAGTTTTTCTTCTCTTTCTTAATTTATATTTATTTAGTATGCATGGCTTGAAAAAAATCATGTGAATGAAGTTGGATCACAATATAATACATTAGGTAAGAAAGTTGATCATAAACCATCAGCATGGAGATGTGAAGATCAAACAGAAGCTGGAAAGTAAGAGAAAATTATTTACTAATAAATAAATCGATTTATTATTTTTTCTTTTTAAAGAGAATTTTTACGTATGAATGATGAATGTGCTGATAAAATTTATGATATTCGTGAACGAAGTGACATCAATCGTGAATTTCTTCTTAATTCAGATGGTGTTGCATCTAGATTTTATCAAATGGAAGCAGATGCTGTTAGTTAAAATCAATTATTTTTATTTGTTTCTTATAATAATAAGAATTATTTCTATTTTAGTTAAAAAATCGTTACGAATTAAATAATATGAAACGTAAATTAGATGGTATTAAACAATTACGTGCTCGTTTATTCAAATAAATAAATAAATAAATATATATCTCGTTCGACAATAACAATAAACAATATTATTATTATTATTTTAGTTCTATTTTATTTTGTATTTATCGATTCTGGTGACATACAAAACAAAACACATTTAACGATCAGAGATCGATTTCAATTTTATTATTTGTTCTTGATTTTCTCATTTTCGTTCATAATTACCTTTTTTTCTTTGACCCTTTACACATAATTATATATTGTCAGCAATCATAATCAAACAAAAGAATATTAGCAACATTGATTTGTTGAACCCTCTTTTTTTTGTTGTAATGATTTCAAATGAAAAATAACGAATTATATACAAGTTATTTGCACACATACACATTCAAATAAATATCACAGTTCAACCCTTTGATAGATATTATAAATTTATATTAAAAAACAAAATAAAGTTAAATTAATTATTATGAATAGTATCATTTTGAAAAAAAAAATGAAATATGGGCGACATACTTAGTCGAAGAGGATGTTCATTACTTTTTTTTAGATAAATAAATGACGTATTGTGGTATGTTATTGTACAGTCAAAATAGAAAAAGGAACAAATGGATATTTTCTATGATTAATGTAGATATGTGCGATCTTAATATATCAATTACTATTACGATGTAGCTTTTTAGTGTTGACAAAAGTGTTGTGTGGGATAAAATATTTTATTTTTGAGTAAAAAATTTTTTTCCAGAGTTATAGTGTACATCAATAACTACAGTATTGTTTGTTCGATTTAATTCATGATAAAATTCTAGTTGTTTTATTTTAATTCTAATCTCAAAAATTAGTACAACTCGCTATAAAAAATATAGATATTCACAGAACTGACACTGTAGGATTTATATTTTCATAAAAATTTATATAGACAGTCTTAGAAGATTTTTCTTTTAGCAACAATTGATGTGTTGCGATTATTCTTCAGATACACACCACTAGGCTATAGACTTGACTTAAAGGTGTGGTTGGTTGGATACAACATTGTGTGGATGATTCATCATCTGTCTTGTATCGAATAAATTTTTTTTATCTATCAAAAATTAAACCAATAATTTCGAATGTATTTTAAAAAAATAACTTTTATTTTAAAATAATTAATTTAATATTAAGTGTTATAATGATGTCACTAGTATCGTTTGCAAAAAAATATATAAAGGACCTCTACACATAATGAATATCAATATTAATCATTATGGCTGTTGATCCTTAACATTTGCTGTGTAAAATATGGATAATCAAGTTGGATCAGCTGGAATTTCTTTTGTCAAAAGATCATCAATTATACATATTGTTTATTGCCTTTAGATTGTCTTGTCAAGCCTAATATAAAAACATTGTCATTTTATTTTCTTGTTCATATTTTTCAATTGAATAATCCAAAAAAAGCAAACAAAATCAAGATTAAGACTTATCATCAAATTTTTATTTATTTTATTTTCTTTTCTTTTCTGCATTTTAATTCATTCAAAAATCTAAAGTTAAATATTCAAAAATATATTCTTTTGTGTCTTCGAATAAAATGGCAGCCGGTACACATATGGCTGCAACACAACAAGCAGCGGATGATCAAGCATCATCACTTTATTTTTCTGGTATCTGTCAAACAATATCAGTTAAATGTCAACATAGAAATGAAAATGGTTTATTAACATGTTCAAGAAATCTTTATGTTTCTTGTAAGATTTGTTTGTTTTTTTTTGGATTTATATTTGATTTATATATTTAGGTCCACATTGTCATCTATTACTTTGTATTGATCATATACATGAACATGAAAATTTATTACGATATGAAATTGAACAATTAATAAATGGTAAAAAAGAAACAATATTTTCTTCAAATTTAAATATTGTTTTTCTCTTCTTCATATATTAAATAGAAACAAATATTGTTAAAGCAAATATTCGTGCATTATTAACAACATCTCAACAACAACCAACATCAACAACTGCACAAGTACTTGATGAAAAACAACGTACATTATGTGAATTACTTGAACGATGGGCTACAGTTGGAAAAATTTCTATGTCACAAGCAGCACTTATACAACATCAATGTGGTTATATTAGTCAGACAACTCAACAACAAGCAGCAGCAGCATCAACTGCTGCAGCTGCTGCTGCTGCACTTGCTGCTGGAGCAACAAATCATCATATTGCTCATCATACTATTACTGCACAACAAAATGGTGGTACTAGTACAGCAGTTCCAAATAAACTTCCATCACATCATCAACAACATCATACGAATAGTGGACATGCTAATCATCATCAAACTAATTCACATCATCAAGATCGTTCATCACAACAACTAGCAGCAGTTAATGCAGTTAAAAAGAGACGAAGTGGGAAAAATAAAATTGTTACCTTGCTAATGAAAAATGCCGAAGGAGAATATGAATGTGTAAGTTCAATGTTATTATTTGTTTTCATTCGAGTCTATTACAAATTTATTTGATCGAAAAAGAAAAGAAAAAAAATCATTTTCTTAATATTATATAATATCAAAATTATTCGATGTATTTATTAGTAGTGAATAGAAAATTGTAAGTAAAACTAGTTCTTTCGAAAAAAAAATAAATCTGTTACGTTCTCTACATGAATTCAAGTATATTTGAATGTAAAACACTCTATGTGTGATTTTTAAAATCAACTAGAAACAATTTCTTCGTATATTATCAGAGATATACCATGACTAGAATAGTAGATGTAACATTTGTATTCTTATCTTCAGTACTAGATCAGATAGGCTAAAGATACAAAATAGATATTTCTCATATCGGATGTAGGAAGTTACTAAGAATTTTCATTCAAATAATATATAAAAAACTTTGTGATTTATAAATGTAAGATAGTATGAAGATTTAAATGAGTAGTTTCTACGTTAAACTAGTTATTTAATCGAAAAAAAAGTCGAGAATAATTCATATCTACGACTCTTTCTATTATAGTTTTGTTTTTAATCTCTAGTAGAATATTATCAAAAGAACCTATATTGATTTTGAATATGTGTATGACACTAGCTAGATTATACTTAGGATTTTAGTGAAAAGAAGCATTGTATATCGAAAATAACGACTTTTCTCTCAAATTTTTCAGTATGCGAACAAATATTTTTAATGATGTATTCAATACAGTATAGTAAATAATTATAAACTATTCTTACTATATCCAGCATAATGAACAAAAGTTTCAACCTTTGCATTTCATAGGATTCTCTCGCAAATATTATTGTTTTTCTTGAATAATCTAAATATTTTCGCTTGTTTATATGTATATATATATAAACATTTTTCTAAGATTGTTATTGTCATTCTATCTATAATTGATGTCGAAAAACAGCATTAATTTAGTAAGAAAATATTTTTTTATATCAATATCGTACATATGTGTACTAAATAATACATTAACTGCATTCTTTGCAACGATGTTAATTATTTAAAAAATAATCATTGAATAGAAATATATTTTCTTTTTATTCTAGCCTAATGTTCAATGTCGGAAATCTCTCAAATGTCAAGGAATAACGGCGCATGTGAAAGCTTGTGCAGTTGATTGGCTTAAAGAAAATGGGCAGTATCTTAATTTAAACTAAATCATTATCATAAATTATCAACAATGAAAAGAGAGACAAGCAAAACAATGGTTTTTGTTTTCTTTTCTTTTTATATAGCTTGCATTCATCTTCACATGTAATTGATTACTGTAGTTTGTCTCTGTACATAAGTTTTTCTCTGTATGTTTTTTGTGAGTATATATTGTTCAACTTGTATACATCGCCTGTATTCTTCTTCTAGTTTATTCCTATTATAAACTTAAACACTGATATGTATTTCGAAAATAAGACAAAAAAAAACTCTAAAACTTTCATTTCATATTTGTCTAACTTTTCTCGTTTACTTGTTTATGTGTGTGTGCTCTATATCCCTTCTTCTCTCTCAACTTACAGATATATGTATAAGGCCGAAATGAGAGAAAAATGTCTTCATCTTCTTTTTTTTGTGTATGTTTCTGTTGTCACAAAGTTTTCTTTTCGTATTTCTTTCAAACGCAACAGACAAAAAGCAGAAAACTAAAATTTTTTTTTCTGGTTCGTTTTTTCTAGATTTTTTTGTTAATAAAATGACAGAAACAACAAGTATAATGTTCGATAGTTTTCATTATCAATCACATATAAAATCTTTTACTGTCTGTAGAAATTCTATAAAGATCAAAATGATGAGAGACTTTGAGTTAATGAATCAACTTGTAGCGATAGAAGGTTTATAACTCTATATTATTTCCGCACGAGATACGATCATCCGGTGAGATGTTTCAAAGAATTGATTAGATCATCATTCAAGTATGTTTCATATTATTATGGAAGATTCAAATTCAATAATAATTTATATCAATGACCTAAATATGTTTATACAAATTAGTGATATTTATCGTGTGAAAAGATATTTAAATAGTAACTGATGAAATCATTATCATAAGGAAAATAATTTATCTACCGAATGGCTCAAAAGTTTCTTTCTAGAAGTTTTTCCTAAAAAACATTATGACGGAGGATCCGCAAGGAATTGTTTTCTCGGCATTTTTGAAAGTTTTTCTTTGTTATCTTTGTAATTAATGACTTCGTTTATATGAAGAATATAGTTTTTTCTTATTATATTTTAATTGTAAAAATACTAAGAAAGCACTTCTTTATATACTACTTGTTTTTCAACTTCCTGTATTAGCTTCTAGTAAATATTGCTTCAACAAAAAGGTTAACAAAAATTGTAATATATTTGTTCCTATAGAACTTGATGAACTCGATTTAACAATGTGAAAATATCAGAGTAAAAAACTTAATCAATTTCTAAATCATTAGTACTGTACAGAGAAAGAAAAACGTTTGTATGCGAACGTAAAACTACGACAAAAATGATAATATTAAGATTATGAAAACAAATAGAGAAATTTTGACAAGAATGAGACATCAATAAGAACTTTTTATCATGA